GAAAATGTTTTGAGAATGATGTACAAATGCGCTTTACACAATTGATGTGTGTATGGATTGGGATAACAGTTGTATGAGCCCCTAATAAAGTGTTTTAAAAAAACAAAACAAAAAAAAAGAAGAAAATTCCTGTTGTGTCCCGGCCCCTCTTCTAGAATATAGACATCATGACAAGTGCCCACTTAGACTAACAGAAAGCTGTGAGCCTCATATTTTTTTCACAATGGATCTAGTTTTGTTTACATGTGAGTCAGGTATTTTCAAAGGTAAAACGGGATTTTGAGCAGCAACATTAACTCTTTCAAGCCATTTTAGTGCATATATTAAGTAGTAATTCGTTTACTGAGCTTTTCCTTTTAGTGGGAGCGTTCATGGCCTGCTGATCACACAGTGTCAACTATAGAGCCTATCTGGTGCCCAATGTATCACTTAGGGTAAAAAGTACCAAATCAACTGTAAGAGAATGCAAGCTTTCTAAGTTATTACATTGACTATGTCTCAGTACATGTATTTTCAAGTCAGTCGTCCCTAAAATGTTCTGTGTTCACCAATGCTTGCTCTTCTCTTTGTCTTCTGTTTGTCATCTATTAGTCCAACGAGCTAGAAAGTGAAGAAGGTAAGAAGTAAGAGCTACATCAGAAACTAAAGAAACAGAAGTGGTTAATCTGATACAGAGACAGTTTTCCTGTGCTAGCAAATATTTTTTTGGTTGTACCTATCTTTTAACCTAGTGCACTCTGCTCTCCTTTTAGATTTTCCCCCCACTAAGCAATTATAATTGCATTGGCACTTAATACAGCTCATCCTACAATTGACTATATCAAGGTTATGTCTGTGTTCTTTATACTGATCATAATTTTATAGGAAGCATCTTGTATAAAAAAGAATTTTGAAAATAGCATTTGATAATGAGTTTTTTCTCATTGTTGCACTTTTATGATGGAATTCAATTTATATTTAGAAGGAAAAAATTCTGCCATTACCATATATCCAAATAAGGACATAGATCTCGCTATGAAGAAATTTAGTAATATGTAATCAAAATGGCAGCTTCTATGTTTGTTTCTTCCCAGGGTCATCACCAGTAAAGGAAGTTTTGTTTACATAATGGTTAAAGGAAGAAATAACTGACGTCATTCCAAGTATCACATTGGATTTTTACACACTGACTTTGCCTAGTCACCTGGAGTAAACAGCGGTGCTGGTGGACCTCTCTGACCTCCTCTGGCTCCACTATTGTTACGAGGCCGGTGCGAGAGCAGCTTCCACCGTCTATCCTTCACTCATTGTGACACCACCTATTCCCCACAAACACACTTATTGTTGTAAGTTAGTTCCAACTCATGGTAGCCCCCATGTTGTAGCATGCAGACTGCCTCATCATGATTGATGTAATGTAATCTGTACAGGAAAAAGATCTCCGGGTTTTTCTTCCTCTGTGTAGCTGAGTGAATTTAATCTTCAGTCAAATGGAAATTGTTCATGCCACCTTGTAACTGTGATCGATAATGTACTGAAAACCCTTTGCTTAGGCTCTAAACTAACTCACATGATATTGTTAGGACTCTATTTTTAAAGGCAACAAAGCTGGGCTATTTTCGACCCTCAAGACTTTGGAAGATAGAATCCAAGTAATTCTTGTTTCCTGGTTGAAAAGTATATATCTAGAAAAATTGGAAACTTTAACATTTCAATAGTTCTTAATAGTATTGTTATCCACAAGAATTGATTCATTGATTTGAGGGTAAAATAAGCTCTGCCAGTAGGAATCTCTTGTTTGGGCATAAATGCCGCAGAGATTCTGCTAGATGACTGAGACGCCATTGCGTCTTTTCATTGTAGTTAATGCTACTATAGGAGCACTAGTCATGTGGTGTGTTTAGTCTTTGGATGCTCACTAAAAAGTCGGTGGTTCAAATCTAGCAGCCCCTCAGTATGAGAAAGCAGAGGCAATCTCCATCCGGAAGGATTTAAAACCTCAGAAACCTAAGGTCTATTCTGTCCTCGTGGCTCATCAAGCACCTGCACTCTGTCCTTTAGGGTCATCATGAGTCTGAAGCAACTCATTGGCAATTGGCTTGATTCTGTTATAATAAGAATCTGGATCATTCTATATAGGATTGAGGGATGAGTAATTTACAATGAAAGTAATACTACAATTTTACCATAGATTAGCCAAACAGAGACAATAACAAGGTAGCTTTATACTTATAAATAACTGGAAATATTTTCCAAGAAAATGCTACGGTTATAAGTCTGAGGACCCAGAAAAACATATGTATCTATATTTCCTTTTATACATGTCTGAGACACTGGAAAACTCACAGAAACTAGGAGGAACTCAGGGATCATTCTAGGGGAAAGGGAAACACTACACAAAAGTAACTCAGGTTTGAGCAAATGAAATCTGTGCTCTGAGAAGGGAAACTTTCATTCTAAAGAATTAAATGTCATATGATGTACTTACCTGTGCAAGGTACTATTAATGATATATGCTTGTAATATAAATGAAATCACCAAATATCCATGAAATCTTGCCAGAAATGCATAAGTAACAAAAAGTCCTACAATTTAATGGAAACCTAAGGTCAGCTATAGCTATTTGTTTGCTTCCAAAACAATTTGACTTTCTTTCAGATTTCCTCTAGCTGGGTTAACCAACTGAACTAGAAATATTGCTGACATGCACACAGCACGTCAGGTCTGACCTGTTCCTATGAAGCTGATAGGAGCTGGACCAAAGAAGCAAGGGTTTTAGAATCATTTTCAGGGTTTCCAATTGTGAAGCGATTATCTCTGCACTGCAAGGAGGAACACAAATGAAAGTCTGGAAGTAGGTGACCTGAGAGAAGAGAGCGTGTTTCTTGGAATTACTTTGCAGATTTTTGAGGTCCTAGGAGGACAAGGCTAGAAAAAAAACTTTGTATGTAATATATTTATTGAAGCCCTGGGGTTAAATGATAGGCTCGTGATGAATAGATACTTTGGGACAGCTCAGAGGTCCCACAGCTCTTAAAGTTCCTTGATTCTATACTTAACCTTTCGAACTTTCTTAAAGTCTACTGCACACAAGTAGCTCCCTTGAACATTCCCATATTGAAAATAAAGTCTAAAATTACACAGCAAATTATGACTCAGTGCCCATGTCCAAAACATATATATATGAGGCTTTTGAAGAGGGGATGCACCTGGGAAAAGAGTGCTGGCTAAAAGCTGAGGTTGTGAGACGCAGAGCTGGATTTGGAAGTATGCTTTTTTGCTCAAGTAGGAGGATATGCCTTTCACATGAGTGTGTGTTTTCAATCTTTTGGAGTGAATGCAACTTATTATTTTTCTAACCACTGCCTACCATTTCCTGTTTGCATATATTTATAACTGAGCATTATTTTTGCTGATATGTTGTTTTTAATAACAGCATTTTAATGGTTCAATGTTCTGCATAGTCAACTCTGTGTTCTGCAAGAGCACAGAAGTTAGATTTCGGTCTGCATAAGGAACCGTTTCAAAGAATAGATTGTTCCATGGAAAGCATAAAGTAAATGGTAGAGCCATAAAAGCCTTGTCTTATGTTGAATTCTCTAAGGTAGATTAAACCAGTGAAACTCAGACGAGAGATAGATGATAGATAGCTATAGATACATACACACATGCATACATACATATATACACATACATACGTACACACATACATATATACATGTATAACTCAAGAAAATTACTCACACCAATATTGATGCTGGCAAGTTCCAAGTGTCAGTGTGTCAGTGTTAGGCTACAGGTGTCTCCTAACTCATTCATTTAACTGTAGATATTGATTAAGCTGAGATAAGCATGTCTGGCTGTACAAGCAAATAAATCTAATTTTGTCAGGTAAGATGCTGTGCTTCTGGCTACAGAAGTAAATGAATCCAAAGTAGGCATGTCAGATGGCAGGCTTTGGGCTATATAGATGAATGAAACTAAAGTCAGCAAATAAGATGGCAGCTTGCTAATGACTCCTAAAATCAGGAGGCAATAAGGCAGGGTTCTGGCTAAATTCCAACGGATAAGAGGTCAGATAATGAGCCAAATATAGAATTTAGACCCATCAACATACAAGTAAGCTTTGTCTGAAGCTCACATCTATTCTATGCAGTTTGTGTTTAGACCTGGTTGACTAGAGAAACAAATTCTGAGACACTCATGTGTATTAGAGAGAGTTTTATATCAAAGAGCAATTGTGTATTGAGAAAACATCCCAGCCCAGAGAAGATCAAGTCCATAAGTCTAATAATAGCCCACATGTCTGATTCTAGTCAATAACTTCCACTCACAATGGTATGAAATGCAGGAAAATCACAGTCTGGCAGATGAAAAGTCTGGTGGATCCAGTGGTGGTAGAAGCATCTCAGTGCTGGCCTGGGGCTCTACAAGGCTCCTCGGGTGTCCCAACAACTGGAAGTGAAGCAGAGAGAGTGTGTGGCCTATCTACAGGGAGAAAGAGAGGAAGTTCCAGAATCCTCATGAGAAGACCATGCCCACCAGGAGGCATCGTCAGGCTGTGACCTGACTGATAAGCTAACCTCCACCTCTTCACTCTGTTTCAAGTTGACATGAAATCATGTAATTACCACATAGGTGATAACTCCAAGAATGAGAAAAAATGCAATGACAACTGTCTTTGATAGTGCTTTGTTTGTTACTGGAGAAAAATAGGTAACAAAACTCAGAAGCTAAAAGAAGAAAGAAGGGAAACCAGGAACACGGGGATCATTCTATTCTTTCAATTTTGGTTTGGGTAAAAGATTACATTGAAAATTAGTTTTCTAGTGAACAATTTGCACACATATTGATTTGTAATGTTAGCTTTAATTACTTCCATGTAACATCACTCTCCCCCACCCTTCCTGGTAGTCTGCTTTTGTTTAAATACAAAAACATTTTTGGTCTTTGAAGAAATAATATCTTCTTACTCTACCTGGGGCGGGGGCGGAGATAAGGATCAACATCATTGGCATCAGCGACCCAAGACCAAACCCTGTGATGCTAAAGTCAAACATGCCACCGTCTTAACAGTTCTGACACCAGGTTTCCTTTACACAACACTCTATTTCTCTGCTGGATCCAATAGTTCATTACAGTGATAGCATTACAATGATCGCATAGCGCTCACAGAGCAGCTGATTATAGATTTTACAAGGGAAGCTACCAGGTAAAAATGTTGGTTAAAAATAATTAGGTTACAGTTCTCCATTCAGGCCCTGAGCCTTTTGGCCTGCCCTCTGCCCTCCTTAGTCAAATGGAGTATTACAAAGTTCTTTTAGGGTTGCCAATAGGTGTCCAAAGGAAATGTCATTATGTCAAAAGTCTCAGTCCTAACGTGCTCACTTCTAGTTTTGTGGCTCAGTACACCAATTTACTGCCCCACTCCACATGCCAGCCTGCTGCCCCCAAACACTCTGCTTTAAAGGCCACAACCGTGTCTTATGTTCTGAATCTTGACTTTGTTACTGTTGCTCCACTTGTGTCACAACTGTCGCCTGGATCAAGGAAGTTTAGGGCACAGGAATCTCAGGGTCCAAACTACATGTTCCACTCCTGACTCTTCTCTTTTTCTGGTGTGGAATCTACCTCTTGCTTCTGAGATGACTCATTTTATAACAAACACGATGGGAATTACAATTAGCCCTGTTAACAATCACTCATAACTGAAAAACCATAATTTTGTCTCTATCTTTCCCCATCTTCTCATATGAAGATGCATCAGAAAAAAGTCATTTGGTGAGCATAACAAAGACTGTGGCTGGAAGAGCCATATTAAACAATTTACTGCAAGGCAGTCTTCCATAATTATTTTATGTCATCCTTTCATCATAAATCTCTTTTTCAAAAAAACCTTAATCTAGAATTCTATCATTCCAATCATTGACAATAATGGCAAGTTTTCTTTCCATTTCCTCTTTTGTATTCAATTATAATACTGAACAATGGGAGAAAGATGGGGAGTTCTGCTCCCATAGGATATGTAATTTAAATTTTGCTGAATATAATTCAACAATGGTTACAGCAGATCTATACAGGAAGTTGCCAGAAATTCAAGCCATATTCAAAAGATGACATGGAACAAGGGTTATTAAGGCTAATATCAG